GAGGGAACTCAAAGTGTGCCTGCTGGGGGTGAGTGGCGGCGGGCCGGGCCCCGAGGGCGGCGGAGGCCAGGTGGGCGGGTCCCGGCATCCTTGGGCCCCTTGCAACCCTTCCCGCCCTGTGCGGGACGCCGCCCCTCCGCAGACCCCTGGGCCGTCCGGGCCCCCAGGTTGTGCCCCACCCAAGGCCCCGAGGTATCGGGGTGGTCCCCGGCGCCCCGGAGAAGTGTCCTCTTTCCACCCCACAGTGAAGCGGCCCGCGGGTAGTTTCCTTCCAACTTTGCGAGGGACTCCTTTGAAGTTGGCCACGTCTCTCAAAGTTAACCCCCTAGCAGGTCTTTAGGTTTTTATGAGCGCCGTGGCCTCCTTTCTGCAGTGTGGGATACTTTTGAACTTTTGGAACGTCTCTGACACTTCTGCAAGAGTTACTTTCAAAAGTTTACTCTCCTAGTGGAGAAGGGAGGAGTCCATACCAGGAAGCTTCCAGGACTTTGAAGCTTCAGCTTCCGGTCCTCTGTTGGCAGTTTGGCCATTCCAAAGCCTTCTGATGGTCTCCTTCCTGAGTTTCTGTTTTAATGACTGACTGAAAAGAATTCCAATAACTAGATGTTTTTTGCCCCTCTACTAGGGTGGGGCTAGGTTTCATCCGGGATTACTCAGGCCCAGCTTGGAAGCGCAGAGTTTCCTGGTATATGTGAAAAGGCCAGCGTGTTGTCACTTTACTCATGGGGTCTTTTTCTTCTTGGAGGGAGGAGGACCATCCTAGTTATTGGACCTAAAACTTTGTACATGCTAGGCCAGCCTTGTGTATCCCTAGCTTGTTTCTGTTTTACAGCAGGATCTTAAGGAGCTGCCGAGACTATCCTTGAAGTCTCTGCATAGCCTCAGCAAGCCTTGAACCTGGAACTCCCCCGCTTCAACCTCCCAGATTTGCTGGGATTGTAGGCCTGTACCACTAGGCAGGCCAGCCTGGGTCTTTCAAGAGGTTAAAAACTACAAAACCCTTTTCTAGTACTTTTAAAATATTTTTAAGAACGTTTCCCACTGTGTAGCCATGACTGGCATGGAATTCGCTTTGTAGGCTAAGAAATCTTTGTACCACAGAGATCTGCCTGCCTCTGCATCCCAAGTGCTGGAATCAAAAGCTTCCACTACTGGGCCTGGCCCCAGTAATACAGTTTGAAGTAAAATTGTTTCATGGACGCTTTTCTTTGTGTCCCTCAACTTAGAAAATCGACAGATACGGGTGCTTTTTCTAAAATTCCCTACTTTATGCCACAAAGTGGGTTTGGGTGTCTGCAAATAGCAAGCTTTTCCTCAGTCACACATCTTACTCTCCTTCAGGATACTGGTGTGGGTAAATCAAGCATTGTATGGCGGTTCGTGGAAGACAGTTTTGATCCGAATATCAATCCTACCATAGGGTAAGAGAACAAGTTTATTTAATATACTTCTTAGAATGCATGAAAAATCATTTCAAAGAAAAAAATGTGTTGCTGGTGTAACCCGTGTCGTCTTAAGTTCAGTGAAATTTTGAGTTCCAAACCCTCTTGAGCAATGTAATACTGGTGACAGTAATGAAATAATAAATTAACTTCAAAATGCTAGGTGTTTTTGTTTTTTGCTTTTTTTTTTTTTTTTTGGTCTCTAGTATTTTTGGTCAGTAAAGTTGACTGTCTAAAGAGGTTTTGAAGGTCTGATTATTTTTCGTTAGGTGTGTGAATGTCAGTTCAGTGGCCACCTTGAAGGCCAGAGGAATCAGATGCCCACGGAGGTGGTTGTGAACTGCCTGCTGTGGGTCCTGGGAACCAAACTCAGGCCCTCTGGAGAGCACTGCTCTTTACTGCTGAGCCATCTCCCCAGCTTCAGAGATTTAACAAGAATCTTTTCTATTTAAATGTCATAGGGGTGATCATGGGATTAATTCTAATTTTTCTGTGTGAGAACTTGAGAACTGTGTAGACTCTACTATTAAATTAAAAGCTTAATTTAATTTAATTACAACTAAATAATGATTATGTACTGTTTATTCTGAAAATCCTGCCAGTCAAGTGGTTTCCTATCTTTAAAGAAAAATTGCGTGTGGCTCATCATCAGGCTGTGCTGTCGTGGTGGTCCTGTAAAGACCATTCTCTGCCTCCTGGGGAGCGACTTCGCTGAGAATTTGTTAAATCTCTGGGTTTCTTACACATTGGAGGGCATGCAGATGAAATCCACCGCTCTGTCTATAGTTGCCATAGCATACTTCCAGAAGAACTGGGTGTGTCTACATGTTTGGAGTTGTCACCTCTCGCTCCTTGGGTCCTGTTGGTACCTGCATTACAAAGTGACAAGAAGTGCGAATGAGTCAGTGAGTGACATAATTCATTCACACCGAGTCACAGCTGGAAACCCAAGGACCACAAATAGTAAATACCACCTCATTTCCTCTCAGATGAGTAGGGAGAAGAAGTGCATGCCATGCCTTGGCCCTGTCAGGCTCCCGCTGTGTCGCAGGCTATTAATATCTTTGCTCATATTTTACAATAAAGACTATAAAGCCCCTTTATCCTAGCTACCTTTCTGCCTCTAACTTTCTCTCCCTTGACTAGCACCCCAGTGATGCATGTACCTCTCTGGAGTTCTGGGTCCACAGCTTTTCTTCACTTTCTCCTGTCCTGCAGCTCTGCTGCCCATGTATCCTGATGAATTCCTGCAGCATCCCCTCCCCCCACCGTCTTGCTACTTAAGCTGGAAGAGAACCTGCCACTTTGTCAGCTGTCACTCTGTGCAGCCCACTGTCAACACAATTCCACCCCACCCCCCATGTCACTAAATCCACCTCTGGGTACTAGTCATGGTGGGAACCACCACAAACCCAGTGGGTATTTTTCAAAAAGTTTAATTCATTAATTGGATCTCATCCATAAGGTGTTCGGGTATAGCAGGTGTTCTGGATGCTGGTGATTTATATCTGGCATCAGCAAACTCTAGCCTTGTGCCCTGCCTGCTTTGTTTGTAAATAAAGCATTGCTGAAGCAGTCACACTTATCTACTGTTTCCAGGCTGTTCTGACCAAAGGCAGGGGTCCTGTGGCACAGAAAGTCAGGATATGCTATCTGGCACTCTGGCACTTTTATTTATTTTTGCAGCAGGCAAAAATATTTAGACTTAGGTAGGACTAAAACTTAATATGTAGCCTAGGATGACTCAGTCCCCTGAGTGCTGGGATGAGCCATCGTATGTCTACCTGGTACTTTTTAGAATACATTTACTGAACCCTGATTTGGACATACTCTGTTCATATCATATAGCTTCCCTGTCGGTTAAGAGAGAAGCAAGTTCTATAACTATTGTGTGGAAAATGATTCTTTAGCATGTCTCTGTGATGTCAGCACAAAGCAGGGCCTGACCTGCGTAGGGTTGCCTGATTCCTGCGGGGCCCGTGGAAAATGGGAAGCACTTAATAACACTGACATTTAAATACTGAAAGATGAGTGGAAGGAAGTTTAGAAACTGTGTTTGCAGAGGAGTATGTCACTTGGTAGGAGTGAGAGGTGGCAAGAAGTAATCTGAACAGCCCTGGGAGTTTGAAGGGCCAGCCAGGTAGAAAAGGGTCTGAATTGAGTGAGGACAGAGAGTAAGATAAGGAAGAGTGGCCAACGAGGCTGTTGAGACAAAGATCGGGCAAGGAGCCTTAAAGATGGGGAGTGAGCCACCATGATTGATGCAAAGCAGGTGTAATGGAGTGAGGTTCCTTGTCTTCTCTGGTTCCTTCCCTCCACCTGAGGCTGCCTTTTTCACTGGTACTGCTTGGCCTCTCTTACTGCTGAAGTAAGCCTTGGGCTTCTTCAAATCGTGTCCTCTTTGTTCCCAAAACATCCTTTCACCTGGGTCATGTGATCCAACTTCAGCTTCTCCTAGCCTTTTCCTTGGCCACTGATGCAGAGCCATGGTTTAGACTTAGCTCCCTAAAGAAGTGGATGTCTCTCCTCTGCTCCTCAAATGTCTTCTTCCCTGATGGCCCAAATGAGTTAGAGAATAGGGAAGAGCCTTGGCCGCAGAGAACCTTCTTGTTTGTGGACTTGACTTGCGACCTCAGTGAGTGCTCTCAGTGGACACTGGCTGGGTGAATTTCCACTCCAGTGACCAGGCTGCTGTTGGATTTGTCTGGCTCATACCTGCTTTGTGGAGTTTGATGAGGAGTCACTGAAGATTCACTGGTTTAGCATAGAAAGTATTGGTAAGTGTTGGCGGTAGCTGGTAAGACATCAACTACATGCTATATATAATTCCATCCCTCAAGAAACACATGAGGAGGATGAGGACCCCATTAAAGTCACTACTGTGATGAGCTGTAATAATCCTTAGAAGCTCATTGTGTCCCTTGGGTGTGCTGGAATAGAGAGGTTGCCATCACTGTGGGCAGGTGGGTGGGTCCCACACTGTTAACACCAAATTCTCTCCTAAGAGCCAACCTGGAAGAGATTCTACTCACCAGGTAGCCTGTGCCCATACGTGATCCACAGATGCTTGGGAGCTCTGCGTGCTTGTGACTGTACTTGTAAGCAACCACTGGAAGGCTTGGATCCCTGTTCCTCTTTTCCTGGGGAGGGAGCAGGACTAGCATGTCCTCAGATACCAAAGTTACACCTTCTCCTCCTCCCAGCCAGTCACCACAGTTCTCATCCAAACCTCCACAGTGTCACCTGACATGGAGGACTTCAGAATGAAACACAAGACACCTCTGGATTGTGGCTCTGCCACTTGCTAGCCACTTAGTTAGCCAATGGCAGTTAAATCTATAATCTGTTTCTTCAACAAAGTAAGGGGTAGTGGGACCACCTTCTTATTGTTGGGAGGATTCAAAATAATGCAGGTAAAGTGTGAAGCAAAGGACTGGAGAGACATTGGAGTCAATAAATGACACAGCTGTTATTATATCTTGATTTTTTTTTTAATGCTTTATGATTGAACAGAAGGACTCAACCTTCTAGGCTGGCATCCTGTAAGTTGTATCCCCAGTGTGCTTGGTCTCTAGGAAAGTGAAGGCAGGAGGATGGGAAGTTGCAGGCCAGCCTGGACTACATAACAAGCTCCTCTAGGACTGGGTGGGGTGGGGTGGAGAAGAGCAGTAGTTTTACAGAAAAGAATGGTGTCCTAGGGCTTTTAAGTTCATCTAACAGCCCTGTCTATGTCTACTTAGACCCATTTCTTAGAGGCGACCGCTGTTGCCATGGTGTGCAGCTATTTTCTGATCTGTCCTCCAATTCTCCTCACAGGCACACACACACTGCACCCCTCCTCCCACCCCCACCACCAATTTTAGACATTATCTACTGATTTTCTCTTTAAAATGTGGGTCCTAGCTATCCTCCCACCCCCTGTACATTTGTCTTCCCCACATTTTGCTATTACAGTTCTGCCATTGAACCACAGCATGGTGAATGTTTAAATATACACCCTCACGCTCACACTAGGCCAGCTGCGTATTTCCCAGCTCTCAATGTACTTAGTTGTTGTGGACTTGTTAAGCTCTTTGTGCCTGTATTTGCATATTGGGAGTACTCTGTGATACCTTATAGAGATGGTTGTGAGAATTGGGTTAATGTATATGAACATGGTGCAGAATGGCTCGAGGTGTACAGTAAACATCTTAGCAGTCGTTATTTCATAATAAGCCTGTAAAGCTTAGAGTTTAGGTGAATGAAATTAGACTGTAACCCTACTGCTTTTGAGTATTGTGAAAAATGTGTGTACATTGGAGTTCCATTGGGTGTAAAGCACAGTTGAGGTCTGTGCCGGATGCTATGTTCTCACTGAGGACTGTTACTTAGAATTCTGCGGTGAACATTCTTTAATGTGCCTTGTGTGCCCTTGTGAATTTCTAGGGGCACACACACAGGCACATACAGCCCTTGCCATGACACCACTGCATCACAGAGCTGTGCATATTCAGTTCTAGTGGGTATCTTGAAGTATTCTCATCCACTGGCAGTTCTTGGGTGCTTGAATTCTCTGACCCTCCACAGCTTGTGTAATATGGCTCTTACTAGCATCACCTAGTCGCTCTTCTCAGGCAGAGGGGGCTGTCTTGTTCTAGTTTCTGTTTCTCTGGTGACTGCAGAGACTGAATGTTTCAGCATTGTGTTCAAACCATGGACTATTTGCTGGTCACTCACTGCCTCACATGTGTCACTCTGTCATCTGTGTTTGGTGGTTTTGTGTCCCATTGTGTGACAAGCCTTTGCCATCTGTGAATGACTTTCCGGTGAGCAGAGTTCTCTCCTTGATTGTGTTCACACCCATTGCTTGACCTCTGCAGTTCCACCCTTGCACCTACCCAGGCAGCTACTAAGAAGCTTCTATCAGTTTTCTTGATCTTCAGATAATTCAGCTACTGGTTATATACTTCTAATAATGTTTTGTCTTGGAGCCTTTTTTT